TATTTTATAATTATGAAATTATACTTTTTATTATATCTTATATCTTCTAATCATAAAAAAAACAAATAAAATACTGAAATGGCTTTTGCTTTAATTTTTTTTATTCATTGTAATTCATAATATAACCACTACATGCAAAACAGAATAAACGAGCTTCAACAGTTTCTCCTGCTTCAGATCTTTTACTTAAGAAATCCTCAACTTCTTTTAATGGAACAATATGAACTGTAATGTCTTCTGATAATTCAAGCTCTTGTTCTGGATTTTGATTCTCAGGAGCATCACCATTAATTAACAATGAAACATATTGAACATATGTATCACTTTCAGCTGGTGCAGCTGCAACTCTTTTACTAACTTTCAACACTTTTTCAGCAACATATCCTGTCTCTTCTTTTAATTCTCTTTTTGCTGAAGACTCAACAGTTTCATTTGGATCAATTAATCCAGCAGCAAGTTGCCACACCATAGTATTAACTGGTACTCTAAACTCTCTAATAAAAACTAATGAAGTTGGTTTCTTACTAACTGGATAATAAATTATGGGGACTAATTCTACAGCATCAACGTCTAATCCTGATAACTTCTTTGATTTTCTTGAAATACATTCCCATTTACGAGTTCCTTTAGGTGTGTTATATTCCAATAATTCAAATGACATAAATTTCCCTTCATGTAAAACATTATGTTTTGTAACATAAAAATTGTTGTTGACTTGGTTCACTACTCATTTTTTAAAATTTCCTTTTTTCAGTATTTAGTTCTTCTCTTTTATAATAAACGAAGCGACACGTCATTTTTCTTTTACAAAATAAAAAATTAAAATATTGATTGTTGTGGATTTCTTTTTAGAAAAGAAGAGATGTTTATTTAAATAAAAGTTATATGAACAGGAAATAAAAGACCAAATTTGGAAGATTATCATAAATATATTTTTTTCTGTTTAAAACTTGTAAATCAGAAAAGAAATATTTTTAATGGGTTGTGGAGGTTCAAAACCAAAACTTAATTTACCTGATTTATCACTACAGCGTAACCCAGACTGGAAGTACAATTCTTCTATTAAAGTTGAAGGAAATACAATTCAACAATTTAAAGACCATGGATGTACATCATGTTGTATTGGTAAAATTCCTATTACCCAAATCAAAGTAAAAATTTTACCAAGTCAAGAATATTGTTTTGTTGGTCTTATGGAAAAAACAGCAGCAGATCAGGCAAGTGCAACGAGTAATGGAATAGTAAATTTAAAAGGAGTGTACGGATGTGGAATGGCAGAAAATGATGTTGTTATGAATGGTCAAGTAACTCATTATAAGTTTGTTTTTATTTTTTTAAAAGTTTTATATTAAAAATAGTGTTAAATAAAATAGGAGACCAGCACTACAATCAGGAGATTATGTTGAATTCAAGTATACTAAAGATCGGATTTTCTTTAAAATAGCAAAAGATTGGGACTTGTTGTATGTCGTTGGAGAAGGGAAAGAGTTTGTTTTTGTATGCGAGGTCTGTCATCTTTATTCTAGAGTTGAAATTATTGAGTCTACAAAACTAGAATTAACTCAATCTGACCCACCAAATAATCAGCAATGAAATAATCATTGTCTATAAAAAAGTTAATTTATTTTTTATAATCCTAATTTAGGTCTATTAAATTTATAATAAAATTAAAAATATCAATAAAAAAAAAAAGAAAAACCAACTTGAAAAACTGAGAAAGAATAAAATGCAACAACAGAAAAGTAATGATGAACTTCTTAATGAATCTGCTCAAAGGGTTGTTGAAGATATCTCTAAATTAATGAACAATGAATTAAATATGGCTAGACAAGATTTTAAATTTTATACTGCCGTTAATAACGAAGCAAGTAAAAAAGTTGAAAAAATATCAGACATTGTTGCCAGTAATTCAAAGAGTGTCGAACTAATTGAACAAAGCTGTTTGTTAGCACATAAATTAATTAACATTTGAATGAAAAATCGAATTTTAATGAACATGTAGATAATGAATTAGAAGAATACAGAAAATATGTAGACCAATTAGAGACAACTTTAGACGGTATTGAATTAACTGTGGGACAATTAGATGAACAAACAAAAATGATTGAGGCATCGTTCCGAGCAATTGAAAGAAAATTAGCTCAACAAGCATTAAAAAAGTAATAATAACTTCATTTTCTAATATTGCAATCGGTTTCAATTATTAACAAATCAAAGAAATATAAATGGTGTAATAAATAATTACTTATCAATAACATTATTCATATTTAATAATAACGTTTAACTAAAGAACACGACACCAAGCATTTGCAATGAAATAAAATAGTCGTCGTTATATTCTTCACTTCATTCTACCATTAAAGAATTTATTATATTATTACTCTTTTTGAGGTAATTTATTTTAAAATCATTTATCAATAGACAATAAAAACATTCATTTTAATCTTTTTCAGTGATAGTTTATTTTAACTAAATGATTTGAACGTATGAATTTTACTATTTATAACCAACTCAACAAAGATATGGAGAGAATAAAATAAATCTTAACCTATTCTTCAATAAATAAAAAATAGGACAATTAATAGATATATCCACAATTTGATTTATGAATATTGAGAATTGATTATTTCAGTGATTTCAATATGTTCTATCTCTACAATAAAGTTCATTTCTAACAATGAGAATTAGAAGGTTCATCTTCTAATGTGTTGCCACTGTTAAATATGTAAAATATTAAGTCTTTCATGTTTTTATAATGACTGTTCGTAATATTTTGGGTAAGTCAATTTGTAATTTTAGTGAATTTAATCTTCTTACTGTTTCTTTATGTATTAATTTATTGTTAATATTACAGGTATTATTTCTACATAAGTTAATTCTCTACTTTGTCTTAGCTTCTCATGTAATTATTTGTATTTATTTATTTTGTAAATATAATTTAATTCAATGTTTCTATCTTGACATATGGCGACATCATTAATATATCATTTTTTATCTTTGATGATTTGATAATATATATTTGGTCTTCTAGCATTAAAAGAATGGTCACTAACCAATAAATCTTTATTGTAAGTTATAACCATTTCATTATTATTAATACACTTAGGATATGTATTAAAATCTATTTCATCAAATTCATTAAAATGGGTAATTAATATATGTTTATATATTTGTTTACATACATAATCGTGTTTTGATATTTGATTCTTCTTCATTACATGACATCCTAACAAAATATGGCTAATAGATGGAATTGTGTTAGGACAATGTTTACAATATTTTAAAGCATCAGAATGGAGTATTTTAGATTTAATATTTCCTGTCATAATTACTCCTTCTTGCATCTTTACTACTTGGAGGAAAGCATTTCTTTTTATATTTAATAACATGTAGTTACTGATAATTTCTTAATATTAAATATACAATTTACATTTCTTATATATTCACTTCATTTCTTTCAATTCATTTAAATATCTTTTATTTATTTTATTTGTTACCCATTCAAATACTTTGTTTACATCATGTTTTATTTCATTTAACTGTATTATATTCATTAATTCATTAAAATTAATCTTCTTACCAAATGCTCTCTTCATTCTTTTAATTATTCCATTTAGATTCTCTTTTACTGCTTCTATCATTTCTAATATTTCTGTATTTGATATTTATATTTTAAATATATTCTTAATAATTCATTACATCATTCATCTCGTGATGACATTATTCACATTCCTAATTCATTTATTGTAACATATAATCTACTTTTATTGATGTTTCTACTGTATAGTTTGAGTTGTATCAATGAATTTCTTATTTATTTATCTATATTCTCAAACTCACCAAGTTTCCATTTGATAATACAGAATCAATATCTTAATTTTGAGATTATATCATTATTAATCTTTCTAATTGTATTGATGCTACTATATTTCATAATATTTAATGATGATAAAATAGAAGATACATCATTTAATAATCATGTACAATATTTATTAATATTTATTTTATCTCCTATTTCAATACCAAGATATTTATAAGGGTTATCATTAGTTACTCTTGGTAATTCAGCTAATTCTCCATTTATCTGACTATTGATATTATTCATTATCCCACTCTTTTCTACATTTATTTTTAATCATATTCTATTAAATATTTCATTTGTTAATTTGTTTGTTTTTTCCATTTCATTGATGTTGTTAGTTATTATCTTTAAATCGTCCATATATAATAAGTGGTTTAACTGGACTTGTTTTTCTTCTCCATTCATTTTAATAGATAACTTATTAATTTGTTTATCTAATTATTTAGATAATATAACAATAGATAATACAAATAATAATTTAGATAAACTATCACCTTGTATTATTCCTCTTTCTACATTAATTATACCTACATTTTGTTGAATATAATATAATTGGAGTTGTGTATTATTTAATATATATAATATACTTTTAATTACAACTAATGGGATGTTAAAGTAAATTAAACAATGTTTAACAAATTGATGATTAATATTATCATATGTTTTAGAGACATCATAATATGTTTCTACCCACTTCCATTTAGCCTTGATTAATAACTGAATGATTATAATATTGTATAACAATCATTCTTTTGATAATATGTATATTTTTTACATCCAATTTGATTTTGTGATAATTATTTTTCAATTTGATTTAACATCAGTTGATTTCTATTTTCATCTTTAACAAAGATGTATATACTTTTAACATATAATTTAGACAAGTTATTTGTCTGTAATTTTGTGGGTCTAAATTATCTCATTTCTTATATATTAATATTGTTCTTCATTTGATAAATTGAATATAGATATCATTATGATTATACAACATTTTATTAAATAATTTTAATAATAAATTCTTTTGTTGTTCTAATTATTTAATCCAGATGATTGTATTTTATCAATTCCATGTGCCTTCCAATTATCAATGAATTTTATTGCATGATTTAATTCATTTAGAGTGATTATATATATTCTATTATTAATTCTATTTTCAATTAATATATCATATAAATTATTATTTATGAAATCTATATTAGTGTTATTTTCATAGATTCATTTCAATAAATGAATTGTAGTAATATTATCTTGATATTCATCTTCTTTAGGTAATGAACAATAAATAAGAGATAAAATAAAAAAATAATTTTAGTAATAAAAAATAAAAAATGAAAATTATATTTTTTATTCAGATGAAATAATAAAAAATCATTTCATATCATTTTGTTGTTGACCACTTCAATTTCTTTCTATACTCACTTTATGTTCTGTAACTATTTCATTAGAACATTCGTGAACATAAACAGATACAAGAAATAAGAATAAAAGAATAGAAATAATGATAAAAGAAAATAAAATTAAATTAAGAAGAATAAACAAATAATAAATAATTAATAAAGTATTTCATCATGTTGAGAATTGAATAAAACAATTTCATCATTATTCTTTATTTCTAATGACTTACCATTCATTCTCAAATTAAATGAATTGTTGATAAATTCACATATTCACATTTCATTAATAAATACTATTTCATTCTGATAAACAAATATGTTATTATTTAAATTCAATAATTATTAATAAACAAACAATACCAATCATTAGAATAATCAAATAACTTACAAAATGAAAAATTAAGAGAAAGAATAAAAACAAAAGATTTAATTAAAGAAGTAAGTGGAGAAACAAAAATGATATATTCAAAACATAATTATATGTTTCATATAAAAAAAATAAAATGAAGATTTAGTTTTTATCGGGTCAGGAAATTATGCATTTTATTCGTATTCATCATTATATTATTATAATGATTTGTGATGTTGTTAATTATTTCTTAATTGTTGTCTAAATGTAATGAATGTCTTCATGGATTGATTAAAACATGGTGTTTATGTTTGATAGTTCATTGAAATGAATTATCATATTGCAAAATCTTCTTGTTAAATGTTTAAAAGGTAAAAAATAGTATACAACACAATTAGATGAAAATATTTGTGATTAAATATGAGAAGAAGATATTTGTATATTATTAGTTATATCTTTCTACTTCGTTTTCTGTATTAAATGAATATATCTGTTGATGAAATTGAAATAAAATAAAATAAATATAAAAAGAAAATGATAAAAGAAAGAATAAAGAAAATAATAAGAAATAAATATAATGATTAATGATAAAATTAATGAATTATTATCATGAATGAAAGTTGAAGATAAACATTAAATTCATTATTATTAATTATAAATGTTTAATTTATATTACATATTAAATAGTCATTCTTCATTCTGTATTATTGTGTTGATGTTTAAATTATTCAATTTGTTATTATCATATCATCATTTCATTGAAACTTGTTATTTATTATCTTTTTATTTATTTCATCATTTAACTCTTGTTTGATATGATAATATAAATAATTTACATTGTATATTATCATCATTCATCATTGATAATCATCTGTGATATAATTTAA